TCAATACTTATTTTACCCGCTGTATATACATATACAGCGGGTAAAATAAGTATTGAACACATCACCATTTTTCTCAGTAAATATATTACTAGAGGTGCTAATGACATGAAATTTTCACCAGATGTTGGTAACAACCCAAGTGATCCATACATACAAAGAAATCAAACCATAAATGTCCAGAAATAAAGTTGTTTGTATTAATTGTGTATGGATCACTTGGGTTGTTACCAACATCTGGTGAAAATTTCATGTCATTAGCACCTCTAGTAATATATTTACTGAGAAAAATGGTGACGTGTTCAATACTTATTTTATCTGCTGTATATTTATTTAGGTATGAATGAATCAGTGTTTCACAGAAACAGTACTGTCAGAAAAAAACAACTCTTCTAACCATGTCTGGAACTGTTGTTGTTCAGAGGAGAGTCTGAGGATTGTGGTTCCTCTTGAGGACATCGACACTCAGGAGAAGAAGACCATCAGCTTTTCTTGTAAGGTCAACAGAGCCAACGCCACTCTGAAGTGGATGAAGGCTGGTGAAGAGATAGTCTTCAGCAAACGCCTCGTCTACAGAGTGGACAAAGAGAAGCACATGCTGACCATCAAAGACTGCACGCTGGCCGATGAGGGCGAGTACACCGCCGTGGCTGGAGATGACAAGTCCACCGCAGAGCTGATCATCAGCGAGGCACCGACCGACTTCAACGTACACCTCAAGGACCAGACAATCACAGAGTTCGACGACGCTGAGTTCACCTGTAAGCTGACCAAAGACAAGGCTGAGGTCAAGTGGTACAGGAACGGACGGGAGATCAGAGAAGGACCCAGGTTTGTTCTTAATTTTGAAAACACTTCCTGCTCCGAGTTAAATCTAGTCCTTTCAAAATAAGTGAAGACTGTTTCCATGGCACCAGGACTGATTGTTGGTTATCTGACCGAGCTGAACTCTGGATATTTTCACAGATACGCTTTTGAGAGGGATGGAAAGTTTTGCACTTTGCGTATCAAAGAGTGCAGACCTGATGACGAGTGTGAGTACGCCTGTGGTGTGGACGAAAAGAGGTCCAGAGCCAGGCTCTTTGTTGAAGGTGAGGAAATCACAACCTTATTTCTGTCTGATCCAGTACCTGCCCTGAGATCCTCACCATTGTCTTTCTGCCCTGCAGAGACGCCGGTGGAGATCRTCCGACCGCCACAGGACATGTTTGAACCTCCWGGCTCTGACGTGGTGTTCGAGGTGGAGCTGAACAAGGACCGGGTGGAGGTGAAGTGGTTAAGGAACAACATGACTGTCGTCCAGGGAGACAAGTTCCAGATGATGAGCGAGGGGAAACTTCACCGTCTGCAGGTCTGTGAGATCCGACCCAGAGACCAGGGAGAGTACAGGGTCATTGTCAAAGACAAAGACGCCAAGGCCAAGCTGGAGTTGGCAGGTAAGCGTCCAGGTCTGATGTGGTCCAACTATACAGAGGAGAGAAATAAACAGTCTACAGAGSCTCTCCCTGTTTGCATTAACACAACTCCTGTTTGYGYTTTTGTCTGGCACATCTCCTCTCGCCCTCCAGCTGTGCCTCAGATCAAAACTACTGACCAGAGCTATGTGACTGACGCAGGAAAGCCCATCGTTATGGCCGTCCCCTACAGTGCTTACCCTCAGGCCGATGCAGACTGGCTCTATGACAACCAGAGTCTGCCCAAAGACCAGATCCACACCTCTGCAGACCGCACAGAGTACCGACTCAAGGACCCAAAGAAATCTGACGAAGGCCGTTACAAGATCATCATCAAGAACAAACATGGAGAAGGAGAAGCTTTCATTAACCTGAGCGTCATCGGTGAGTTTTGTGTCTGTGGCTTTTTTACTTTAGTTTTTAACCCTTTAAAAGCATCCCTGAGTTGTACAAGAAAACACTCAGCACGGAAATAATCAAGGGCAATGAGCAACRAGAAATACTTTAGAATTGAAGTTTGTTGAGACATTAAAAACACTGAGGAACTTGTCATCTTTAGTAATGTCTTTAGTTGAGTCTCAGATCCAAGTTTAAGATCTAACACTAACAGTATGTGTTTTATAKGTTTTATTCTCACAAAATGGCTTCTGTCTTTGAAGATATGTTATAATTTCTAGATAAAAGCGAAAAAAATGAAGCAAATGTAATAAAAAACTACTATGAGCGTTACAGTGTGAATGATAATATCTAGGATCCATGTAGAGATCCAACACATCAAGTCGGACCTATATATCTGAGACAGTTAATGTACAGCAGTCATCAATCTCTGTTCGGCTCCTTGGACTGATGAACCTTTTCTCCTYAGACGTGCCTGGACCTGTAAAGAACCTGCAGGTGGTTGACACAGCAGACGGTGAGGTCAGTTTGGCGTGGGATGAACCGGAGAGCGACGGCGGCAGTAAAGTGATTGAATATGTTGTGGAGAGACGAGACGAGAAGCGTAAGACCTGGACTCTGGCCACRGACCATGCTGAGAGCCCAGAGTACACGGTGACCGGGCTGCAGAAGGACTGCTTTTACCTGTTCAGAGTCTGTGCAAGGAACCGAGTTGGCAGTGGACCCTTCGTTGAGACGGACAAAGCTGTGCAAGCCAAGAACAAGTTTGGTAGGATTTCCATAGTGATGCTTTTTTATCCACTTAATTTTTCCATCATTTGATGAGCTGATTAATCTGTTGGTTGTATCTCATTGGTGCGCCATTAAATTGAAACATCTGCCTCTGTCTTTTGTTCCTCAGATGTTCCTGATGCTCCTCTGAATGTCATTGTGGGAAACRTCTCCAAGTTCGGCTGCACCGTCTCCTGGGAGCCTCCCGAGTCTGATGGAGGCTCTCCTATCACCTCATACATCGTAGAGCTACGTGACAGRACATCCGTGAGATGGTCGCCCGTCCAGGTGACCAAAGCCGATGAGCTCAGCGCCATCATCCACGATGTCATCGAGAACAAAGAGTACATCTTCAGGGTCAAAGCTGAGAACAAAGCTGGTGAAGGCAAGCCAAGTGCTGCCTCACAACCCGTTAAGATTATGGATCCCATCGGTAAGTACCAACCCAGAGATCCACCTTAGAGCTAGGGAATGACTGATTTTTTCAAATTATGCTTTTAGTTTTAATTTAACTTGAATGTTTGTTTGTTTTTTTTTACCAATGAATCAGTTATTAACTAAAATGTTTACGTTTAACATATTTTCTGCTTCCCTCGGTCCTCTCTAATATTTGTCTCACAGAGCGCCCCAGTCCTCCTCTGAACCTGTCCTGGCAGGACCAGAACAAGAGCTCAGTGCAGCTCAGCTGGGAAACTCCTGTGAAGAATGGAGGCAGCATAATCACAGGATACATCATCGAACGCTGCGAAGACGGCACAGACAAGTGGCTCCGCTGCAACGCCCGCCTCTGCCCTGACCTCACCTACAAGGTAGATGACTCCTTTTAGTTGATTCAATTCAGATGAYTTCTTTCAGATTACTCATTTGGATGATTCGTTTCAGATGACTGACTTGTTTTCAAATCAGTTGTTTTGAGACAACTTGATTCTAAACAATTTGTTTTCAGATGACTTGTTTTAGATGACTCTTTTCAAATGACTCCTTTCAAATAACTTGTTTCAGGCAACTAGTTTCAGTTGACACGTTTCACACGACACATTTCAGATGACTTGTTTCAAGTGAATCATTTCAGAAGCCTTTATTTCAGACAACTAGTTTTCAAATTAGTTGTTTCAGACAGCTTGATTCAGGTTACTTGTTTCGGATGACTCATTTCAGATTACTTGTTTCAGGCAACTTGTTTTCAGACGACTTGTTTCAGATGACTAGTTTCAGACGACTGGTTTTCAGATGACTTGTTTCAGATGACTTGTTTCAAATGACTTGTTTCAGATGACTCGTTTCAGAAGACTGTTTTTCAGATGACTTGTTTGAAATGACTTGTTTCAGACGACTTGTTTCAGATCAGTTGTTTTAAATGACTTGTTTCAGATGACTTTTTTCAGACGACTTGTTTCAGATGACTTGTTTCAAATGACTTGTTTCAGATGACTCATTTCAGACCACTTGTTTCAGATGACTTGTTTCAAATGACTTGTTTCAGATGACTTGTTTCAAATGATTTGTTTCAGATGACTCATTTCAGACCACTTGTTTCAGATCAGTAGTTTTAAGTGACTTCTTTCAGATGACTTGTTTCAGATAACTCATTTCAGATGACTTGTTTCAGATAACTCATTTCAGATGACTTGTTTCAGATAACTCATTTCAGATGACTTGTCTCTGATGATTCGTTTTACATCAGTTGTTTCAGATGACTTGTTTCAAATTCTTTATTTGTAACCTTTTCTCCTGCAGGTGTCAGGTCTGAAATATGGAACCAAGTACAACTACAGAGTGTTTGCTGAAAATGCTGCTGGCATTTCGGACCCGTCCAACACCATTGGGCCTCTTCTGGCCGATGACCCACATGGTGAGAAACCTGTTGAAACATTTCACAGAAACATAAAGGCAGAGGCTGAATCTGTCTGACACCTGCTGTCTTAACSTCCTCCAGTCGGTCCAACCTTTGACCTGAGTGCCTTCAAAGACGGCCTTGAGGTAATTGTCCCTCAGCCGCTTGTTATCAGAGTCCCCATCTCTGGTTACCCAACCCCCGTCGCCAAGTGGACCTTCGGAGAGAAGGAGTTGACCACCGCAGATGAGCGGGTCTCCTTGATGACCAGGTCAACATTTACAGAACTGAGCATTGCTCCMAGTGTTCGACCCGACAAAGGCATCTACACCCTGCAGCTGGAGAATGATGTCACCACTGTCTCCGGAGAGATYGAAGTCAACGTTATTGGTATGCCAACAAAAAACATACATCTGAACAAGAGTTCTGCAGTGTCTTTCTTCAGTGGGATCAATGTTTTTGTCTGTGCCTGCAGCGGCACCCAGCGCTCCAAAGGACTTTAAGGTCCTGGAAGTGACCCGACAGCATGTCCACCTGACCTGGGAGGTTCCTGAGCACGACGGAGGAAGTCCTCTGACCGGATATCAGGTGGAGAAACGAGACGTGTCCCGCAAGACTTGGGTCAAGGTACAATTTCAATAATTTTAATTTAGCCAGGATGTGAGTGAACATCTTGCCTAATCATGAACTGCTAAAGAAAACTGTAGGAATCTGTGGGTTGATGATAATCAAGTCAAACTGTCCCTCAGGTTGTCACAGGTATCCAGGATCTGGAGCTCACCGTCACCGACGTGATTGAAGGGAAGGAGTATCTGTTTAGAGTCACTGCGCTCAACAAGTGTGGCCCAGGAGAGCCGGCATACATCGATGAGCCTGTCAACGTCTCCTCTCCAGCCAGTGAGTCAGAAAAACTATCCTATAGTAAAAGTTAGAAATATCAGATCCTCTCAGGAGAGCTGAGGTATTGAAATGTTTTTCAGCTGTAGTCAAGAAAATATTCTGTATTCAGACATAAAACTGGACCTCCCTAATTTTTGAGTTCAGAGGAACTTTCTAACCTCGAGGTCTTGCCTTCTGCCAGCTGTCCCAGACCCTCCAGAGAACCTGAAGTGGAGAGACAAATCTGCTAGCGGCATCTTCCTGACTTGGGAACCACCCAAATATGACGGTGGCACTGGCATCCGAGGTTACAATGTGGAGAAGTGCCAGAGAGGAACAGATAAGTGGGAGCCCTGTGGAGACATGGTACCTGAGCTGAAGTGCCAGGTGACTGGTCTGATTGAGGGCCAGTGGTACGCATACAGAGTCAGAGCCCTAAACCGACTTGGAGCCAGCCAGCCCTGCAAGGCTACTGATGAGATTCAAGCTGTGGACCCCATAGGTAAGACCTGGAACACCTTCCTGTATCAGTCCAAGAACTCTGTTAGGATGTGTCTGACTGAGTTCTTGTCCTTTCCTCTGCAGAAGCTCCACAGATCCACCTGGACGCCAAGCTTCTGGCTGGTCTGACTGCCAAAGCTGGCAGCAAGATCGAACTCCCTGCTGAGGTGACCGGTAAACCCGAGCCCAGAGTAAAGTGGACCAAAGCTGACCTGGTCCTCAAACCAGATGACAGGGTGTCTATTGACACCAAACCAGGACACTCCACTGTTACGGTCGCCAAGACCAAGAGAGACGACAGCTCCACCTACATTATTGAAGCTACCAACAGCAGCGGCCGAGCCACCGCCACTGTGGACGTCAACATCCTCGGTGAGACAGTTGGTCAGCAGAGAAAGTATTTATTCTAAGTTATTATAAATTAACTTTTTTATTCTTTTATTGTAAAACAGATAAACCTGGTCCGCCTGCTGCTTTTGACATTTCTGATATCACCAATGAAACCTGCTTCCTGGCCTGGAATCCTCCTCGTGATGATGGCGGCTCCAAAGTCACCAACTACATTGTGGAGCGCCGGGCAGCCGACAGTGAGATCTGGCACCGGCTGTCCTCCACCATCAAACAGACCACGTACAAAGCTGTGGGTCTGATCAAGTTCAAGGACTACATCTTCAGAGTCTTTGCTGAAAACCAGTTTGGTGTCGGTCCTCCTGCTGAAAACCCACCTATCACCGCCAAATACCCCTTTGGTAGGTCACACAGTCGAGGCTTTAAACTCTGTGGAGTTAAATAATAAATCTCAGCTGGGTCCAATATGACGGTTCTTGTACTGTCCTCAGACACTCCTGGAGCTCCCTACAAGCTGGAGCCTTCAGACATCGCCAAGGACTCTCTGACTCTGACCTGGTATGAGCCGGATGAAGACGGAGGAAGTCCCATCACAGGATACTGGGTGGAGAGATACGAACCAGACCACGACAAGTGGATCCGATGCAACAAGCTGCCCATCAAAGACACCAACTACAGGTGAGTCCAGCTGTCTGAACCAAGTCTAGCTCTGAAAGTCTGCATTGTGGTGACATCATTCTTTCTCTGCAGAGTCAAAGGTCTTCCCACTAGAAAGAAGTACAAGTTCAGAGTCCTGGCTGAGAATCTGGCTGGAACTGGAAAACCCAGCAAAGAGACGGATCAAATCCTCGTTAAGGATCCAATCGGTACAAAGTGTTAATGATTAAACCATCCTATATTTGAGCATTATTTACAAATGTTAACACAGTCATGTTTGTTCCTCCTCCAGATCCTCCCTGGCCTCCAGGTAAACCCACAGTGAAGGACGTAGCCAAGACTTCCTGCTTCTTGATGTGGACCAAACCTGAGCACGACGGCGGAGCCAAAATCGACAGCTACGTCATTGAGATGTTGAAGAGCGGAACCACAGATTGGATCCGTGTGGCAGAGAACATCACCTTCCTGGAATTCTTCCTGAAGGGTTTAATGGAGAAGCAGGAGTACTCATTCAGAGTGCGCGCCGTGAACGTGGCAGGGGAGAGCGAACCCAGCGAGCCCAGTGACCCAGTGCTCTGCAAGGAGAGACTGAGTAAGAAAACAATGCACTCTCAGACAATTATTAACCTCTAACAACAAATTAGTAGTAATTCAGGACAAGCTAATGATTCTGACAGGATAGTTTTGAGTAAATGATCTGAACAGATTTCTGTCTGGACCTCCTCAGACCCTCCGTCAGCTCCTCGCTGGTTGCAAGTGGTGAGCATCTGCAGGAGCAGCGCTGAGCTGAAGTGGACTGCCCCTGAGCGTGATGGAGGATCCAAAGTCACCAACTACGTGGTGGAGAAGCGTGACGTGAGGCGTAAAGGCTGGCAGACGGTGGACACCACAGTGAAGGAGTTGAAGACCACTGTCACGCCTCTGAACGACGGCTCGCTCTACGTGTTCCGTGTTGCTGCAGAAAATGCTGTTGGCCTCGGACCATTCTGTGAACTGGAGGACTCTGTGCTGGCCAAAGATACTTTCAGTGAGTTAGAGAGGCTGGTGTTTATGAGGTGGTACATGATGATCTATATATTAATAATAATAATAAATATGTGTTGTTTCAGCAACTCCTGGGCCGCCTTACGCTCTCACTGTCAACGCTGTGACCAAAAAATACGTCGACCTGGAGTGGGAGACTCCTAAAAACGATGGAGGCAGACCCATAATCAAGTACTGCTTTTTTACCCTCCCCCACACATTTTATTTTTCACGCTCTAATGTCTTTTAATATAACTACTATATTTATAGATAAGATACCTCCGTATTATGAAAACTAGTTTCTTTACCGTGTTCATATTCTGATGCCGCCTCCTTCCAGGTATTCTATTGAGAAGAAGGAGAAACTTGGAACACGCTGGGTGAAGTGTGGTAAGACTTCAGGTCCGGACTGTAAGTACAGAGTAACAGACGTCATCGAGGGAACAGAGGTCCAGTTCCAGGTGTGTGCTGAGAACGAGGCTGGTGTTGGACACCCGAGTGAACCTACAGAGATCATCACCATCGAAGATCCAACAGGTTAGCCTGATGATGACTTGGAAATCATTTTGAACACAGGACTGAGTCTTAAACTGTCTGTCCTGTCCCCTCCAGGTATCCCATCTCCACCCACTGAGCTCCATGTGACCGGAGCCAGTCGGGACTTCCTGTCCATCGCCTGGAAACCTCCACAGCAGGATGGCGGCTCTGCGATCCGTGGATATCACATTGAGATGTGTGAGGCTGGAACTGAAAAGTGGATGAGGGTCAACTCCCGTCCAGTGAAAGAGCTGAAGTATCGTGTGGAGGAGGGCGTGGTCCCTGAGAAGGAGTACATCCTGAGAGTGAGGGCCATCAATGCTGTTGGAGAGAGCGAGCCCTCCGATATCTCAGAAAACGTCTTTGCCAAGGATTCAGACTGTAAGAACCCCGGGTCAGGTTTCCTTTGCAGGAATCAACAGTGCACATGCAAACTTGTTCTTCTGTGTGGCTCCAGGTAACCCCACGCTGGACTTCCAAACTTTGGACTTGGTTGTTGTGGAAACAGAGAAGCTTCACATTCCAGTTCCCTTCAGAGCTGTGCCCTCGCCCAAAATCACCTGGCATAAAGATGGCAAGGAGCTGAAGGCCGATGAACGCGTTGGCTTCAGGTCAGAGAGATTTACACCATCCACAGTCCAAACAGCMCAAACTGGGTAACCTAACCCAAACCACAGGAATACACGACATGATCCTGTTTTCATCAAATATTGTGATTTGTAGTGAGAATAGGGAGCAAGTGGAAGAGAGCCTGGAGCAGTGCAGATATGCCAGGGTTAAGATGAGATGGAGATAGATGATCCTAAAGAGGAGCAGCTGAAAGAAGAACAGTGTTATAGTTCAGAGCAACAAACTACAAYATTTAGCTGAACTGAAAGTTTTGACTTCCAGAAACATTTTTTTTAAGAGTTTCTTTTCAGGACAACTTCATCTGTTTTTTTTTTTTACTATTTCAACGACTTTATAAATTTGACCTGTTCATCCCAGAAGAAAAATGTCTGCTAAAAAGAATAGGTCTTCTAAAAGGATGTGGAATTGTTTGAAACTTTTCAGAAATGTTTCCAATTGCTTCATTGGTCCATTTTCTGAGTCCGGTTTGTGTCTCTTTGAGGTCCTGCTGAGTGAGGATGAATAATCGTTTTGCAATGTGGTCTGATGGGATTGTTTCTGCCCTGCAGAAAGGAGTACACTTCCTGTCACCTGGAGGTTGACAGCAGTGTTCATCCTGATGCTGGAGTTTATAAAGTGACTCTGGAGAACAAACTGGGAAGTGCCAGTGCCACCATCAATGTTAAAGTCATCGGTAACCATTCACACACTCTCATTCTAGTATCTTCAACATGTAGATCAGTCTTTAACATGTAGATCAGTCTTTAATGTTTCTTGGAATCCTCAGGACTTCCTGGTCCCTGCAAGGAGATTGTGGCTTCAGAGATCACAAAGAGCTCCTGTAAAGTGACCTGGGATCTTCCAGACTATGATGGCGGCAGCCCGATCCTTCACTACGTCCTGCAGGTCTGAGATCACAGGAGTTTTACTTTCAGCTTCAGACTCGGACAGGTTTTGACTCTCATGTTTGTGTGCAGCGCCGTGAGGCAGGCAGGAGGACTTACRTCAACATGATGTCTGGAGAAAACAAGGTGTGCTGGACAGTGAAGGACCTCATCCCCAATGGAGAGTACTACTTCAGGGTCCAGGCTGTCAACAAGATCGGAGGAGGAGAGTTCATTGAGCTGCGAAACCCAGTCATTGCTGAGGACCAAAAACGTATGAAAAAACTCTAGTAATTCAGAAAATCAGCTTGATGTTTGAAATGTCTTACTCAGTGTACGAAACATAAAACCCTCTGAAAACTCAACTGTAGAGGGAACTAGAATAGTTCCTGGAGAAAATATGAAAGGGCTTGAATTTACTGTTTGATGGAGGTCAATGACTGAGTTATGGTCAATTTTGCATTTTAGCTATGGTGGCCATCTTTGATTTTTTATTTGACTTCAGTATGTGATGGAGATTCTTCTTAGCTACCAACACACCAAATTTTAGCTAAACACGTTTTAAAATGGCTGAGTTATTGCAGTTTCAAAYTAGCTCTGGTGGCCATTTTGAATTTTTATTTAGCATTCAGAATTTGTCAGAGCTTGTTCTTTTCCACTACTGTACCAGTTTTYAGCTCTGCAAGTCTTAAAATGGCTGAATTATATCTCCTCCCACATACCAAAAACAGTCATGTTTTTTTGGTCTGTGGGAGGAAGCCGGAGTGCCTGGAGAAAACCCACACATTCACAGAGAGAACATGCAAACTCTACCCAGATAGGTCCTCATGACAGATATTTGGACTTCAATCAGTCTGTTCAATGTCCAGATACAATCTTTTATAGGTAATCCATTTGCCAAAGTGTTTTCTTTGGTGTTTTTTCTTTGAGTTTTTGGGACAATGTAATTTTTTACATTACAAATATTTCTTGAACATTAACCGGTTAATTTTTCCAGATAAATTCCTACATTTTAAAGAGCAGATGGAGGTTTGGGCCAGTTTGCACATTTGAAACCATTCTATGATTTTTTTATTGAAAAATAATAATAAATCAGCCACCTCTTATTAAACTACCTGTGATCATTACGACCTGAACAAAGGAGAATAAACACAAACATGTTATAAAGCCTGAACTCTTTTTTCCAGATGCTCCTGACCCTCCAGTGGACGTGGAGACCCACAACCCCACATCCAGCACCGTCACCCTGACCTGGAAGCCTCCGATGTATGATGGCGGTGCCAAGATCATGGGCTACATTCTGGAGAAGCAGCAGAAAGGCGAGGACAAGTGGGAGAGGTGCAACGACTTCCTGGTCCCCGTCCTGTCCTACACTATCAGGGGACTTACTGAGGGCAAGAACTACACGTTCAGAGTCAAAACCGAGAACGCCGCTGGCATCAGTGAGCCGTCTCGCAACACACCCTATGTTAAGGCCTCAGACGCCGTTGGTAAGGAGAAATGTTCTAAAGGATTCATGTGGATCAGAAGCAGTCTTCCTCTGTTCAGTTTGTTTGAAGTCCTCCATCTCTTTCAGATCCTCCAAAGGTGTTCCTGAGTGGCAGTCAGCAGTCTGGTCTCAGCATAAAGCGGGGCTATGAGATCTGCTTGGATGCCAACATCTCCGGTTCTCCGTACCCTCAGATCACCTGGTACTGGAACAACCAGGAGATCCAGCCCGAACCCCTGCGCAAGAGGCCCGAGAAACCCCTCAGGAAGAAGGTAGAAAAGAAGGAAGAAAAGAAAGAGGAAATAAAAGAGGAGGAGAAGAAGACAGAGGGAGAAGCAGAAACAAAGGAGGGTGAGGTGAAGGAGGGAGAGGAGAAGAAAGAAGGAGAGGAGAAAAAGCCAGAGGAGGAGAAGAAGCCAGAAGAGGAGGCTGAAGAAGTGGAAGAGCCCGACTACCCAACCATTAATGAACGTCTGACCATTAACAACAGCCGAAGGGGCGTGTCCTCCATCATTATCGTGGACACGGTCCGCCGAGATCACGGCGTCTACATGGTGAAGGTGGAGAACGATCACGGAGTTGCCTCTGCAACATGTGAGGTCAACGTGCTCGGTGAGTTTACTTCCTGGTTTGTTCTTTTTGTTAGGAGCACAGACTGAGAAGGTTCAGAACCTGGAGTCTTTCTGCAGAGGGACACACTTTATCATAAGCTAAAGTTTAGATTTTATCTTCAGATACTCCCGGTCCTCCTGTCAACTTCAAGTTTGAGGAGGTGAGGAAGAACTCTGTTATCTGCAAGTGGGATCCTCCTCTGGATAACGGTGGCAGTGAGATCATCAACTACACCCTGGAGAATAAGGACAACTCGAAGATGGAGTTCGGCTGGAGTGTTGTTACCTCCACCTTGATGGGATGCCGCTACCTGGTACCCAAACTCATCGAGAAGAAAGAGTACATCTTCAGGGTCGTGGCAGAGAACAAGTTTGGTCCTGGTCGTCCTTGTGTCTCCAAGCCTCTCATCGCCAAGAACCCTTTCGGTGAGTTCACCCTGACTTTTTTTAGTGTTTGGAAGCATCTGTATAAAATATGGCAACGTGTTTCACGGTCCAATCTCATTGTCCTCAGAACCTCCCGATGCTCCTGATAAGCCCCAGATTGAGGACATCACAGCCAACAGCATGCTGGTCAAATGGAACCAACCAAATGACAACGGCAGCCCCATCCTGGGATACTGGGTGGAGCGGCGGGAGATCAACAGCTCCCACTGGGCGCGTGTTAACAGGTTTGAAAACACCAGAACTCCAACTCTTTATATCTTTGTATGTTTGTGCAGAAACAGTCGTGTTTATGACATTAATGTTCCTTCTGTTTCAACCCTCAGGRACATTGTCAAAGACACTGAGTTCAATGTTGAAGGGCTGCTGGAGGGACTGACTTACATATTCAGGGTGGCAGCTGAAAACCAGGCTGGACCTGGAAAGTTCAGTGAACCCTCTGAACCCAAAATGGCTCAGACTCCCATCTGTACGTAAACCCTGCTAAATACCAGACCCATAATGTCACAGTCTATTCAAACTTTGTAGTTAAATTAATAGTGTGGAGAAATGGTTACCAAGTGAATCTGTTTATTTTGGATCTCTCAGTGCCTCCTGGACCTCCCATCGCTCGCATTGCTACAACCACTGAATACTCGATTGAAGTGGAGTGGGACCCACCTGCTGATAATGGTGGAGGAGAGATCCTGGGATACCATGTGGAGAAGGTCAGAGCATCAAGTCACGTCTCATAACTTGTTACATTTATATTAATCTGGTTTCTGTTGTAGCTGCATGTTTTTGGCTAATAAATTATAAASTTGTATTTGTTTGGCTTTTTAGTCATTGGTGGGTAGCAAGGAGTGGTCCAGAGCTACAGAATGGCCTTGTAGAAACCGTACCTTCACTGTRTATGGTGTCCGTGAGAAAGCCAAGTACACAATTCGAGTCATCGCCTGCAATGCTGCAGGAGAAGGAACACCTGGATTCACAGAGGCTGTGATTGTCCAAAATCCAGCAGGTCAGTTCTAAAATATTTTGTTCCTAGATCGTTTAAATATTGTTTTAGTTATTTTCCTCTTCCAATGGTACTGTATCTGCTTTCACTCCACAGAAAAACCAATGATAGATTTGGACGTGTCCGTGAAGAACGGTGTCATCATCAGGGCTGGAGAAACACTCCTTATACCAGCTACTGTCACAGGGAAACCATACCCAGCCATCACCTGGACCAAGGATGATGGTAAACCAGACAAAGACCGCGTGGAGATCCTCAGTGAGGGCAACAACAGCATTCTGTCCATCGCAAACGTTCAGAGGAAGGACGCTGGAAAATATGTGATCTCTGCATGCAACCCCAGCGGCACCAAGTCAGCCTGGAGCAGAGTGGAAGTGATGAGTAAGTCAAGGTGAGCCACAGAACCTCACCTGAGTTTTAACATGCTAACACTGTTTGATGTTTCAGATGTCCCTGGACCTGTCACGGATCTGAAGCCAGTTGTTGTTACTCGTAAGATGATCTTCCTGAATTGGGATGACCCTGTAGACGACGGGGGCAGTGATCTGACGGGCTTCCTCGTAGAACGAAAAGATGTGAAGATGCACACATGGAGACAGCCCGTTGAGACCGTCTCATCCAAATGTGAGTGTGGGGGTATCGTGGAGGAACAAGAGTACTACTTCAGAGTCATCGCCAAGAACAAGTATGGTCTGGGTGAACCTGTGGAAATAGGACCAATCAAGGCTATAGACCCACAGGGTGAGTGGTTGACTGATTTATTTAAGGTGACCAAGACCTTAGCTGAAAACTAGCTGAAGCTAATTGTTTGGTGACTCTAYAGGTCCACCAACATATCCTGAGAAGTTCCATTATACAGAACGCACCAAGGACTCCCTCACACTGGCCTGGAAGCCTCCTCGTAGCGATGGTGGCAGCCCAGTGATTGGGTACTTTGTTGAGAAGAAGAGACAGGACCAGCAAGCCTTTGAACCCTGCAACACAGAGATCTGCACCGACATGACTATGACTGTGACGGGCCTGGAGGATGCTTGGATGTATGAGTTCAGAATCAAATGTGCTAATCTGATTGGTGAGAGTGAGCCATCCATCCCATTGACAGTGATCATCCAAGATGATGAAGGTGAGACTCTTCAAACTTCCAGAGTATCAAAGCTAATCTTTCTTTCAAAAAAATCAACCACGTGGATGATGAAATGTGTTCATGTTGTGCTGTTTGTTTCCTCAGTGTCTCCTGAGGTCCACATGCTGAAGCACTTTAAGGCAGACTGCATCACAGTGAAGAAGGGTGAACCTGTTGAGATTCCTGCTGACATCATCGGACTCCCCATCCCAAAGATCGAGTGGTCCAAGGATGACGTGGAGATTCCAAAGTCCACTGAGACCCTTCTAATTGAGACAGAGGTTACMGGCAGGTTGAATGCCAAGACCAAGCTGACCATCCCAGCGACCAACAGGAGGGACCGGGGCAGCTACATGGTGTTAGCCACCAACAACATGGGCTCTGCTAAGCACACCATCACCGTCATGGTGCTAGGTGAGTGAACCACCACCCTGAAACTTGCTACCAGATTTAGTAGAGTAGGACTGAACTTTTGTTGTGTTCACAGACCGACCGACTCCACCCAGGAATCTGGCTGTGTCCAACATCAGGGCAGAGTCCTGCTACCTGAACTGGGACGCGCCCACTGATAATGGTGGCAGTGAGCTGACCAATTACATTGTTGAGAGGATGGAAGTGATGAAAGAGCAGCCTGAGCTGGAGGAGGGAGTGGAGGCCCCACCCGAGCCGCAGTGGGAGGTGGTCAACAACAGCGTCATCGAGAGAAAATTTGGGGTTTGTTTCTACACAATCAACCAAGCCAATAAGCATCAGGTCTGTGGGATTTGTGGAATAACTCTCTCTTTCTCTTTTACAGGTATGGAACCTGGAGACCAAAAAGACCTACCTGTTCCGAGTCAAAGCCCAGAACCGCTATGGTATATCAGATCCCTGCACGACAGGGGAGGTTCTCATCATAGACCCCTTTGGACTTCCTGGACCACCAGAGAAACCAACTATTGCAGAATACACCAAGACCTCCATGACGCTAACCTGGGAGCCTCCCAGAGAGACCGGAGGTTCAAAGATCATCGGCTACTGGCTGGAGAAACGGGAGAAAGGCACAGATTACTGGGCTAAAGTCAATAAGACCCCAATAACTAAAAGAGGCATGAAAGGCTGGGAGTATCAGGTAAGCTGCTGGAGCACCTCAACCTCCTTCACTCAGATTAAGAACCGCCCATTGGGAAATGTCCTTTTGTTTCAAATAATGCAGTCTTCTTTATTTTTTAAGGACAACAAATGTTTTACTGACCTGGGACCAACTTTTAGAATGTTTGGTTTTATGAACATTTTCAAATAATCCTATTGCATCTTTTAAAAATGCACAGTGAGAAAATAGCTCTGTTTTCATTTAAGAGAAAAGAACACCAAACAGAACCCCTTCTTCTCCGTGTCACCCAGGTGACTCGTCTCTTTGAAGGAACAGAGTACGAGTTCAGGGTTGCAGCTAGTAACTCAGCTGGAACCGGACCCTTCAGCAGCCCGTCTGACTCGGCCTTCGCTGTTGATCCCATCAGTGAGTAAATATTCAGAGAAGGCATCTTTCAGACACATGGTTATTATACGTTTCAAAAAATATGACCTGCTGCTTCCCTTGTAGCTCCTCCCAGCATGCCCGCTGCTCCTGTGGTTGCTGATAAGACCAAGTACAGTGTCTTGCTGACCTGGAAACCACCTGAGAGCGACGGAGGAAGTCCCGTCAAGGGCTACATCGTCCAGATCCAGGATGAAGGCTCATCAGAGTGGCACAGACTGAACGATATCGACAGCCTGGTCCCCACCACAGAGTTCACCGTGCCTAGCCTCCGCGAGCTGAAACGCTACCGCTTCAGGATCATAGCTGTCAATGATATTGGAGAGTCGGAACCCAGCCCCCGCACCACTGAAGTTCTGATTGAGGACGTTCAACGTATGTGCGACTCTTCAGTGTAGTAACAAATTTTTAGTGTCTCTACTGTGATCCTTCAGTTTACTCTTCTCTGAACAGTTCCTCCTTTCATCACAATTGATGTTCTGGCTGATGACCTCGTGAATATCCGCGCTGGAGATCCGGTCAGGATCCCTGCCACCATCAGAGGCCGCCCTGCTCCCAAAGTGACCTGGGACTATGAAGGCAAAGCCAAGGCAGAGAAGAAGAACAAACTGCACACACTGCCTGTGGACTCTGCGGTAAGAACCACCATCAACACAGTTTTTATTTAAATACAGAACTGTGCTCTCCTCAGAGGTCCTACATGCTCAGGGTATTATTATTATTATCATTATTTTTTGTCCAGGTTGAATCCACAGACACCACATCTGTGGTGAACATCCCCGTCAGTCTGAGGAGCCACTCTGGACGCTACACCATCACAGCCAAGAACAAGTCAGGGCAGAAACACGTCAACGTTAGGGTCATTGTTGTGGGTCAGTGAAACCTGAACGCCTCTCAGAGTGTGTCTGTGTTGCTTTGCTGACATCACTGATATCTAACCTGGTTTCTGGCTGCAGATGTTCCTGGACCTCCAAAGGACCTGAAGGTCACTGACATTACCCGGTCAACCATGAGGCTGATCTGGAAACTCCCCGATACTGACGGAGGAGAGAGAATCAAGAGCTACTTTGTTGAGAAGAAGTCTGTCATTGACAAGGCCTGGACCAAGGTGAACACTAAAGTTTCACTTTTCAATCTTTTTAAATTGGATTTTGTTTTAAGTGTAGTCACCAATAAACTGTTAGAATCAGGTAACATAGCTCCACTCTGCACTTCAAGCATTAAAAACAAGCGAAAAATAATTTCTTATCTTGATTCAGGTGAATGCAGCCTGTGCCAGCCAGGCCTTTGTGGTTCCAGGTCTGTTGGAGGGTCTGGAGTACCTGTTCAGGGTGCGAGCAGAGAACAGACTGGGATTCGGTCCGTTTACTGAGACAACAGAACCTGTTCGAGCCAGAGATCCCATCTGTAAGGACAAACCTGCTACACCTAGAGTTCATACCTCTCTGGAAGTGTCTAAAGTATTCTTCCTCTTCCTCAGACCCACCTGACCCCCCAACCAAGCTGAAGGTCAACCTGGTCACAAAGACCACGGTCACCCTGAGCTGGGAGCCCCCGAAAAACAACGGCGGCTCTCCTGTGAAGCATTACATCATCGAGCGTTTGAGCTGGGACACCAGCGGGAAGGAGAAGGAGACCTGGAAGCAGTGCAACAAGAGGGACGTGGAGGAGCTCACCTTCGAGGTGGAGGACCTGAAGGAGGTTGGTCCAACTCTGTTCTTACTGGATGAAACTTTTCAGGAAACTACCTCAGATATGTTTTTATCAACACTTGATTATCTAGTGAGAAGATGATGTTTTTTTGATTTAGTGCTGATTCAGCAGATTTAACGTCTCGTTTTAGTTTCTTTAGTCAGTTTCAACTGTCATTATATAGTTATCACTGTCATGTTCCTAATGTGGATTCACGTGGAACACCAAACTCAGCGTTGGGTTTTAGCTTGACATGAACACATCCCTGCTGCACAGAAAGCAGGTAACACAGTCTGGGGTGGAAATTAATAATTTTCCCCAGCAGCCACAGTGGCTGGTAGAAAAAGTTTTGTATCGGCCACTCAAACGTTTTACCATCCAATATTTTTTTGTTTCAATAACACGGTGGCATTTAGACAATTCATGGTCCTTGGTGGCCTAATTAAATAGTTTGTGCCTACAATCAGATAATAGCACTCAAAATCTGTTAGTGTCGTAGAGTGTTCAAGCCAGCCTGTTTGACAAAATTAAAATGATGGACTTTTTGACGTCTCCACTTCTCTTACTAACTTGCTTTTTGCTGGTATGTAGGTGGAACACCAATTATTTTAGGTAGGCTACTTGGCTGGAAAAAAAAAGATTTAACCTTAATATTATAGGAGAACTTTTCAAGGTGAAAAAAAAAGTTACCATAGGTAAATTCATTTATTTATTCATCATTCAATAAAATCAGCCTTTGTCTTTTATCACGTAGTTTTGTTCTATAGGCTGCTAATATGAACATGTGTCGTCTGTTCTAAGTAAGATTTCAATAACAGATGGAAATCCCTCTGATGATCCATTGTCTCAGAGTGGAATCATTTCTGTTTTTACTTTTGAAAAGGTTTGTGTCACAAGGTTCATTTTGTTACTTAGTTTTTCTGGGTTTCTGTTTTGTTCTGCATCAAAAAATAGCCTGCAGAGAAAATTTAAGGGAAAAGGAGCAGATTTTTTTCTTTCTTTCTTTATTTTGGTGCTGTCAGCTGATCTTCAGATGTTTCCTTGAGGTTAAAAACAGTGTTTCCTTAAATTTCCTTTGGTCAATTAAAGTGAGTTAAAATATTTAACAAGTAATATGAAGTTTTTTTAACTAACATTATGTAATATTCACACATTGGCAGTGGCAGAAATAGTGTTTTTAATCAGCTGATTTCAGGTTTTTGCTCTTGATGCCAGCCTACAGTTGTAGCTTTGCTGTTTGCCGACAGTTGAAACAAAATTGACTGCCCTGTTAAACTCACCATTATCTGTTTTTTTTCCCTTTCCATTTATTGTTAAAAAAAAAAAACTGCAACTTTCGGTTCTTCCTTTGGTTCCGTTTCAGAAAGGGTTTTGTTACCTGCAGCCTGCTTAATCCAGATATGTAACGCCACATTAAAGTTGGTGTTTTTATTTTCTCCTTCTGATAATCGGATATTCACCTGTATAATGAGCCTCTTAATCTACTCGTGTGCACGGGGGGTGATGGGGGTAGGGGCAGGCGGACCACATAGATGACAGCGCCTAAAGCAGGGAAGGAGGAGGGGAGAACTTATTTCTAGCTGCAGAGCGGGTTGGAAGATGGTTGTTTAATGTTATTAGTTTTTTTTTTAACGTCATAAAGGCTCTGAAATGCAAAATAAAAATGAAACTGAGTTTTTGAAAAAGGTCAGTAGTGCGATTTGAAGAGATTTTTTTAAGTTCATCACACACCCACACCCAGCCACGGTGGCGGGTGCGTTGTTCAGATCTACACACCACTTCATAATTTTACCCACAATTGGCCAGTGGCGGGTRCTAATTTCCATCCCTGAACGCAGTAGACAGGTGGGAGGAGGGTCCAGTCGGGTCAGTTGGACTTGTTGATGGTTTTGTTAATCTGCAGGGAGGAGAATATGAATTCAGAGTAAAAGCCGTGAACGATGCCGGAACCAGCCGACCCTCTGCCACCGTAGGACCCCTGGTCATCAAAGATCAGACATGTGAGTGGACAAACCGGGTTCAGATTTCAGGATTTTGTTTACTGGTCTTGTAGTTTCAGCCATCACTGAGCCTGCTCCTCTCTGCAGGTCCTCCCACCATCCAGCTGCGGGAGGCCATGGAGGGGGAGGAGGGATGTGATGTCAGCATTGTGGCAAAGATCAGCGGCTGCCCGTTCCCATCGCTCACTTGGCACAAGGCCAGCCTGGCCAAACCCGAGGAGAAAGCTGCAGTCCARTATGACCAGCACTTCAACAAACTGGTCACCCAGGATAAGTGCACGCTGCTGATTCAGCAGGCCAGCAGGCACGACAGCGCACTCTACAGCCTGACGGCCAGCAACAGTCTGGGCACCGCCACCAAGGACACCAAGCTTTCAGTCTTTGGTGAGTAACTGTWGCTGTGTCCTTCAGCCTGTTCCTGTCCTCCAATCGGAGACTCAAAGGTTTTTTCTTTTGACAAATTTCAAAAAGCAAACAAACAAAATGTGGTCAATCAGAATATTTGCCTGGAGGGACTTGTCTCATGAACATTTGTCTCTTCCATTCATACTGACTCATCTTCCTCTCTCATGTAGGACCTCCAAGTGCACCGATCGGACCCATAAAGTTCACTGAGGTGTTTGCAGACCGTATCGGCCTGGCCTGGAGCCCTCCTACAGACAATGGTGGATCCAAGATCACCAACTACGTGGTTGAGAAGCGTGAGGACAACAGAAAGTCCTGGGTCCACGTCTCCAATGACCCCAAGGAGTGCGCCTATGTGGTGACACGTCTCACGGAGAACCACATGTATGAGTTCCGAGTCATGGCTCAGAACAAGTTTGGAGTTGGCCCACCACTGGTCAGTGAGCAGGAGAAGGCCAGAAACCTTTTCAGTAAGTTCAGCTTCATATGGAGGTCTGTGTTTGGGTCCAGTGCTGTCTGATTACTAATGAGAGACCACTTCTGTTCCAGCTGTCCCGGGTCAGTGTGAGAAACCAACCATTACTGAGGTCTGTCTGGAGTCTATGACCGTCAACTGGGAAGAGCCCAAATATGACGGTGGATCCCCCATCACCGGATACTTTGTTGAGAAGAAGGAGACYACCTCCAAGCGCTGGAGCCGTGTCAGCCGTGAACCAATCCGAGCTCTCCCGCTGGGCAACAACTGGGACGTCACYGGCCTGCTGGAGGGTGCCTTGTACCAGTTCAGAGTCATCGTTGTCAACGCTGCTGGCTCTGGTCTGCCCAGCATGCCCTCAGACCCCATCCTCTGCAGAGACCCCATCAGTAAGTCTCAGAACGTTGCTGTAGTACCTTTCTGCATTCTTTCAGACATCAGAACTGAAATATTTCTGTATTCACAGAGCCTCCAGGCCCACCCTCTCCAAAGGTGACAGACTGGTCAAAGTCCACTGTGGATCTGGAGTGGATGCCGCCTCTGATCGATGGAGGATCCAAGGTGACAGGCTACATCGTTGAGTTTAAGGAGATCAATAAGGAGGAGGAGGAGAAGAGAGCTCAGAAGAGRCTGCTGCTCAGTGATGCTGAGGAGGAGAAGGCACCTGAGGGAGACGAGGGCTGGAAGAAGGTAGAAAAACAAACATGTGTGAACTAAAGGCTGAGCAAAGTTCAGGTCCTGATGGTGTCTTTGTCTTTCTGCAGGCAAAGGACACCGAGGTCAGAGGAACTAAGTTTGTGGTGGCTGGTCTGAAGGAAGGAGGTCTGTATCAGTTCAGAGTCCGAGCCGTAAATGCTGCTGGGGTGGGAGACCCYGGACTTGTGTTGGAGCTGATCGAGGTCAAAGACAGAACAAGTAAGACTGAGACACGTCTCATGTGGAGGGAATCATGGACATGTTAACTTTAACAAACGGTCTTTGTCTCCAGTTCCTCCTGAGATGGACCTGGACGCCTCGGTGAAAGAGAAGATTGTGGTTCACGCCGGCGGCACCATCCGTATTATTGCTTATGTGTCTGGTAAACCCGCCCCACAAATCACCTGGTGCCGGGATGACGGCGAGGTGCCCAAAGAGGCAAAAGTGGAGACGACAGGCATCTCTAACTCTCTGGTGATCAAGAACTGCAGACGCCAGCACCAGGGCATCTACACGCTGAGCGCCAAGAACGAAGGAGGCGAGAGGAAGAAGGCCGTCATTGTGGAGGTCCTCGGTGAGTACTGCTCACCTCTTTCAGACTCAAACACAAAAAACATCTGCTGACTGTCCACTGTGGTTTCTTCAGAYGTCCCTGGACCAGTTGGTCTTCCCTTTGCTGGAGAGAACCTGACCACAGACTCCTGTAAGCTGACCTGGTACTCTCCTGAGGACGATGGAGGCTCAGCCATCACCAACTACATCATCGAGAAGCGCGAGTCTGACCGCATGGGCTGGACCTCGGTGTCCTACACGGTGACAAGGAACAACGCCGTGGTGCAGGGACTCATCGAGGGAAAGGGCTACTTCTTCAGGATTGCAGCTGAAAACATTATCGGAATGGGACCTTTCATCGAGACCGATAAGATGGTTTTGATCAAAGACCCGATCTGTGAGTCTGACACATTAAACTGGAACCAGCTGGACCGTCCGCTCAAACTGACACAAAAAAATGGTCCGTAACTCATTTTATCTCCATTTCCTTCAGCTGTCCCTGAGCGTCCAGAAGACCTGATCATCACCKCTGTTACCAAGGACTCCATCTCTGTTGCCTGGAGACCGCCAAAGTACGACGGTGGCGCCGAGGTGACGGCATATGTCCTGGAGTCCCGAATGGTTGGCCGTGACACTTTCACACGCATTGGTGGAGAGGACAAGCTGATGGACAGGAAGTTCACGCTTAAGGAGCTGAAAGAAGGCTCGAGCCACGAGTTCAGGGTTTCTGCTGTCAACCATGTTGGACAGGGCAAACACTCGTTCCCCACCAAACCTGTGCAGTGCAAGGACGAGCTGGGTGAGTGACTACGTTTCATACCACCAACCAGGGTTATTATAGTTCACTAAAACTAACTGAAGAACAAAACTAAAAATGAAAAAAACATTTTAGTTAACTGAAATAAATAAAAACTGTAATAAAATGAAAAGAACATAGCTAAAACTGTATAATCTTTTTACAAAACTAACTAAAACTAACTGAAATTATAGACAGAATATCCTTAGTTTTAGAGTTTGTCAATTTATTTTGAGCTGTCTGGCCTGATTAAACTAATCTTATAGTTTTTCTTCAAATTGAACAGTTTCACATTAAAGATTACGGCACCTCATGATCCGTAACGTCACCTGTTTCCAATCTGCTGCTGCACAGAGCTCAACTGCAAAGTGACAACAAAAGTTGGGAGAAAGTAGTAAAGTCTGATTTGGGATTTCTTTGAATATGACTGTGAGGAAATTAAAAGCATCTTGTAGTGGAAACAGGTGGTAGGACAGGTGGAATAGAGACTAATTAACTGAGTATCTTGACAAGCAGCTTCTCTTAATTCCTGTGAAAAATTTTATATCATAATCTTAAGGGGACAGAGATGTTTTTGAAACCTAAATTTCGAACGTTTGAAATAACCGTGCACCTCAATCCAAGGAGTCAGATTGTGGAATAATCTGGAAGATGATGTTAGTAAGTGCCAAATAACTTTACATGTTTAC